CCAACAATACATTGTATGGGTCAAAATTATTGATTTTTCTTTTATGCCAAAAATCATTAGGATATTAAGTAAAGATCATGTTCCATGAAGATATTTAGTAAATTTCCTACCTTAAATATATCAAAACGTACTTTTTGATTAGTAATATGCATTGCTAAGAACTTCATTTGGACAACTTTAAAGGCCATTTTCTCAATATTTAGATTTTTTTTTTTTTCACCCTCAGATTCCAGATTTTCAAATAGTTGTATCTCGGCCAAAATATTGTCCTATCCTAACAAACCATACATCAATGGAAAGCTTATTTATTCAGCTTTCATATGATGTATAAATCTCAATTTAGAAAAATTGACCCTTATGACTGGTTTTGTGGTCCAGGGTCACTTACTAAATCTGTGAAATGTGAACCTTAAATTTTAAATATAAATTTAGGTTTGCACATTAAGTCTAAACGATAAGTCATCTTGAAATTCAAATTGGCCCAGCTATGCACTCTTAAAAAAAATTCTAAACAAAAGTGTTCTTCAGCTTGTAACAATAGCGGAATCCTTTTATGTGCTAAAGAACCATGCTTTGAAAGTGCTATGTAGAACCTTAATGGTGTTATAAATAACTTTTTTAATGATAGTTTATTTATTAATATTACTATATTAGTATATTTACATAATATGAGTATTATCAATATTATTTTATATATTATTAAAATTGCTTTTTTTTGCCTCTTTATCTACATGGTCTCATAATATCTTATAGCCTCTATTAGGGTTTTACATTAAAACAACAACAGCAGCAGCATGTTGTGTGAATTATGTACTTTTTATTGAAAAGTTAAAAAAAATTAAAATTGTAGCAAAAATGTCAGTGCTCTTAACAAGCTATTACTGTAGCTGAATATATTAATAAATGACAATTGACAATGAACATGAACAAATACATGAAGTAAAACATAAAACAGGACAGAAAATAGATGTGATAAAGACAAAGTTCCTGTGAAATATCTTCACAATCCTCAGTGATGCCTTTAGGTCCATTATTTTGATGTAACTGAGTGGCAGTTTCTCTCTGCAGATGATGAGGCTGTGAGATGTGATGCATCTGAAATACACAACATGTATAAAACAATGATGTTCACAAAGGCCAAAAGTAGTAAAAATTGACCGAATGTGAGCCCTTCACAATGTTAAAAGGAAAAAGTAATACTGTAGAATGTCAGGGGATAGTTCTAATGTTATTTTTTGTGACGGCACGTTTATGCATAAACCCAAGTAATAATTGAAAAAAATAGAACAATATGGATTATGAATGTAATATTTCTGTTACTTAGTGGAGAAGAGGAGAGAAATGTCCTCATCGTAACAGAGCTGCTACATGTGACCAAAAAAACTAAAAAGAGAAAAGAACATTACATTTGTATTTAAATTTAGGAAAAATCATTTACCTGTTGAGAGTGTGTTGATCGTCTGAAGTTGAATGGCTGAGCACCAGAAAATCAATAATGAGGTAACTTTAACAGTTACAGATTTGAAAAACAAAAAGGCGGGAATAAAGAGCCCTAAACTCTAACACAAAGCACCATTTTGGCATAAAAGGTTTCTTCGGGGAGTTAAGGTTCTAAATAGAACTGTTACTATGTGTAAAGAACTATAATTTTTTTAGAGTGTGGAATGCAAAATAAGCACCTGAAGGCTGGTATAAAGCTATTATTCATTATTTAGCATACATTTTTGACTGGAGTAATAACACCAAATGTTTAGGGGAATGCTTTGGTTTTGGAACATGATCACATTCCAGGCAACAACAAAGCTTAACTGTAGAGGGCCATGCCTCTCATCTGATCAATGTTATGACTTATGAGACTGTCTCCAGATATGTAATTACATGGGACCAAAAAGCATGGCGATGGAGGGCATCATCCTGGCTGGTTTCCCTCAAGCTCGAAAAAGGAAAGTAAAATTTCATCCCCTTCACTTTGTTATAGTAAAGGTTAATCCAACCATCATCTATTAAAATAAAAGGATGGTGCTCTGCAGCTTTCAGCCTGATTACATTTGCTGACAAGTCTGCACAGATGATGTTTGAATAGTATATTATGAACAACCAAAACCACACAACCATGATGTGGACTCCTCAAGTTGTTATTCACTTTCATGAACAAGATATGTGTCAAAAGCAGATCCATGAATTGAATTTTTACTTAATCCCTTAATGTAAAAAATGGGGTAAACAGATTTGGCTTGCTGTTAAAAAAATCTCTCCTTTTTCATTTGACCTCAATTCTGTGTAGCTACTAATGCAGTTTATACTTTTAATTTAGCCTACCCGACATCCAAAAAACAAAACAAAAAAACAAATCCTGGGTAAAGTTGACTCAAATTGCCTTTGACGTGAGCTTGTCTGGAGCTGAAGGACAAAGTAGTCAATAAATGCTCATAAAAGCATTGGAATGTTTATTTTTTTATTTTTTTCAAAAGATCTCAGCAACGCTGGTGTTTAGGCTCATTTCCAATATTATGGCTCCCTCTACTGGAACGTTAAAGAATAACAAATTTAACATGTATCGTAGTAACAGTCGTCATATCTCTGAAAGGGCGGTGACTTCTGGTGCATGCGAGCAGAAATCGGGAGGAATATAGTGTACACAAACTGCTTTGAATGCCTTGTCTTTGTATCTGACTGTTTTCAATACACTGTTCCGTCGTCCTTGGAAAAAAAGTAGTAATCTCACGTTCCGAATAGCTTTTTAAAGCCGTCGGTCAGGAAAAATATGGGGAGTTGCCACACGGTAGGACCAAACGAAGCCTTGGTGGTATCAGGTAACATATCCCAACAACTGCCTTCAGTTTTTCTCAAAGCAGTCCGCTTTTCGCGTGTATTATATTCATCTGAAATGTAGCTAACGTAGAATGTGTACGTAAATCATCATGTATTTTATTCTACTGCAATTAACGCTTATTTTCTCAAGCATTTCAGTTGAGTAGTGTGTAGTCATTCGCGCTTGCCTGTTGCATTGTAGTTTGTGTTGCATGAAAGAAGACAATCCATCACGCTCGGCTCGTGTTGTTGTGCCTCCCTCATGCTCTTTTCTGTTCGATTTTGACGTGCTTATGCAATTAAATCGATTTTTCTCTTGAAATCTCCTTGGTCTTGAATATCGATTGCTTATGTAGTAGTTTAGATTAAACACACGACTTACGTATTGTGTTGTTGTTGTTTTTGACTATACATTTTATTTTTATGTGATCCTGCCACGTCCTTAGTATAAATATTTTTAAGCCACCTTTGTTTTAAGACTAACTTAACTATAACTATAACTATACTATAACACGTTTTGTCGTGAAGTGAAGTGAAGTGACATGTGGCCAAGTATGGTGACCCATACTCGGAATTAGTGCTCTGCATTTGTCCCATCCAAAGTGCACACACACAGCAGTGAACACACACACCGTGAACCCGGAGCAGTGGGCAGCCATGGTGTTGTGCCTCCCTCATGCTCTTTTCTGTTCGATTTTGACGTGCTTATGCAATTAAATCGATTTTTCTCTTGAAATCTCCTTGGTCTTGAATATCGATTGCTTATGTAGTAGTTTAGATTAAACACACGACTTACGTATTGTGTTGTTGTTGTTTTTGACTATACATTTTATTTTTATGTGATCCTGCCACGTCCTTAGTATAAATATTTTTAAGCCACCTTTGTTTGAAGACTAACGTTACTATAACACGTTTTGTCGCTGCAGAATAAAGTGGTCGTGTTTCATAGAAACGGTATCAATCAAGACCGGGGGTGCCCAATCCTGTTCCTGCAACCTTGATTAAACACAACTGAACGAACTAATCAACATCTTCAGGAGCACTTGATCATTACAGGCAGGTGTGTTTGGAACTGAACTCTGCAGGTAGGCAGATCTCCAGGAACAGGATTGGGCGCTCTAGTGATCAAGACCTTTTAGCATACCCCTGTTTATAAAAATTGGGACTTGTCTACACAGTGATTTCTTTTTGTCATTAGTTGTCTTCCTGCTACGTTCTAGAAAGGTTCCTGGGTTTCACAATTTTAGGTTACATTTATATTTTTTAAGGGGAAAATCACCACATGTGGGAAAAATAATAGCAAAATATAAAGTTTTTATTCGATTAGAAGCTGTTTTACATGAATTGAGTCTAAATCAATAGACTACATCAAAATTATTATTGTATGATTTTAATTGCTGGATACAGTCAAGAAGGTGAAGACCTCTGACTTTGAGCAATACACATTTAAGTGGGTAATGTAGGCATTCAGTATGAGCTATAGCTACTTTTAATGTTTAATATAATTTATCAAATATACCTGATAGAGCAGTGGTTCCCAACCCTGGTCCTGGAGGCACCTCAACACTGCATGTTTTGCATATCTCCTTAATCAAACACACCTAATTCAGGTCATCAGCTCATTAGTAGAGACTCTAACGGTGCGTTCCAAACGGGATATATCGCCCTCCGAAGGGCACTTCGGAGTGAAAACAATCATGTCCGCTATCCGTCTTTGTCAGTCACGTGCGTTTATTATGTGTGACGTCACCAATGCGCCATTTTGAAGGTATCCTTGCATTGAGCAGTGAACTAAAAGTGTACAGAGCCGTGCAGTAAAGACCGATGAAATCGTCATACTGGAGAAACAGATGCAAACCAAGTAGATATGGTACCGAGCATAGCCGCGGGAACGTATTTTCAACTGGGGGGGCTGAGAAATACAACGGGGGGGATAGGTTGGGGTCACGTGATGCGAAAAGACTGACACTATGATGGTGGATCCAAAGCGCAACTTTTGTTAATAAAAAAATTCATTTATTCGTTTAATAGCCTATAAGTGAGTGTTGCTGGGTTTTCATTAAAAAAATAACAATGAACCACAAACTAAGCATTCGTTTCGAAAATACCTTATTTATTTGGGTTACAACGGCTATATCCATCTTATTTATTTTGTTAATACAAGGTAGATGTTTAATATATGCGAATTTGCCATTTGTACTATTTTATGGCTGATGTGTTTTAATGAATAAGATAATAAACCACAAACTACGATCGTTTTAAGGTAGCCTAAGGGGAAATCCATAGGCTATTTATTTGTGTTAAACGCGGGTACAACATATCCTTATTTAATTTGTTAAAAAAAGTTAAAAGTTTAATATAGGTGAATTTGTCATTGTACTATTTGATTGTATAGCCTTTGTTTTTTTTCCGATTAATAATAATGAGCCATAAGCATGCATTTAAAGTAAGGGGAAAATCCAAAAACCTTACATGTATTTGTGTTACAACGCGGGTACATCAGTCTTATTCAGTGGTGTAGCAAGTCAGCCCCGGGCCCATATGCAAAAAAAAATGGTACTCTTTAATATTTGCAGCACGAAATAAACATGAATATTTGAGTGCATGTTGAAAAAAATCAGAACAACTTCATACAAACGAATGTCTCATGAATCGATCAATCAGAGTTTTAAAAAAAG